ATCCCAAAGCTCCTAGAACTAATCAATAACTTTGACAAAGTAGCAGGATACAAAATCAACCCACAAAAATCAGTAACCAACAACACACTAACAAAGAGGGAAATCAAGAAAATAATTCCATTTGCAATAGCCTAAACTACAATATAGGAATAAACCTAACCAAGGAAACAAAAGACCTCTGTAGTGAACAAATGCAATCATGTTATTCAGGATACACTATGTGGAAAATGAACTGTGTAATTTGTGGGAAGGGATGGAAGGGACAACTTGGGGAAAGCAAAGAAAGGAATGACTTTTTTTTAAAGTATTCATTACCTGACTTATGAAATGTTATCCCCTCTTCAATAGCTTTTTTAAATGTATTTATGTATTTTTTTAATTGTGAAAATACTGTACAGAGGAGTCACAATTACATGGGCAAGATAACAAGTACATTTCTTATCAAGCATTGTAGCCTCCTCCTTTGTTTCCCCTTCCCATCCCTTCCCATCCTCCCCCCCACCCCCCCACCCAATCCTCCCTGACCCCCCCACCCCCCACACCAAAGTTGCAAAGTTCGTTTTTGACATAACGACTTGTACATCTCATTGTTGCAATGGGTCCACCTGTATCCCTATTTAAACGATTTGTTTTTCCCCTTCTCCACAAATTATACCAACATCAAATACAGTGAAAGCAGGTGTTATATAAATAGCAATAAAATGATATTAAAAATGAAGAGATAAGGAAGAAAAGACTAAAGAATAAAAGACCTAGAAATTGATCCAAAAAGTAGCAGCTCATAGTAACTGCATATACTTCTTAGAGGTGGACAACATTCATTTTCTGGGTCAGTTATTTATTTTCTTCTGAAACAACAGAGAGTTGGAATACTAAGAATGGCTGCTTTAAATCAAAGGCAACAGATAACAGGTATGATGAAATCTCCATTTTCACTAAAATAGAAAATCAGAATGCAAAGAAAGCTCCATGGTTTATGTTATCACCCACTGGAAGCCATCTTTCAGTTTAGCCACAGAATTTGATTTAGCTATTTTAAAGACAGAGCTTTAAAATAAATATATGTTCCAGAAATGATACAAATATGATTAAGAATTTTAATATTGATTCTAATTTCCATTCCCCCATATCCTACTCTCTCTATATAGGTGACCTTCTTATTAGATTTTGTGTATCATTTCAGTATTCACTATATACTAAAAAAATTACTATTATTTCCACTTTTATATTTGAAAAGTAATAGAGGACATACATTGATCTACAGATCAATCTGTAATTGTGCACAGAAAATTCTCTCATTTTTATATAAATCTGCATAGAAATCCATTTTTGATGTACTATTGTCTAATTAAATAGGCTTTTCATTAGATTATATGTTTTCATTGTCTTGCTGTTACAAAAATACTGCAGTGAATACTGCATAATGGATGCATAATATTTCATAGTTTGAAGTCTTATCATATCTGCAGGGAAAATTCCATCAGTAGTGGGTCAAAACATTAATGCTTTTGTAATTTTGATAAATATCAGTATAAGAAAAATTCCATCAGTACTGGGTCAAAGTTTTAATACATTTGTACTTTGGTAAATGCCATATAAATATCACTGTGTTTTCGCAGTTTTGTTTCACTTTGGGCTCCCATCAATAGTGGATGAAAAAATTTGCTTCCCTAAGGCAAAGCTGATAGTGTGCTGTCAATTTTCAACATTTTGCATTATAGGTGGGGAAAGTTTCTGTTATCTTTAACATACTGTACACATGAGGAGGTAACGCCATTCAACACAGCATCCATTTCTAGAGAATTATGGCTAAAGAGCTACAGATTTCCACGTGATAGATGAGTTCCTACTGAGAATTTGTGCTTTAGTTTACACAGTACAAAAAGCAAAATAGCCCATTGTTGATTATCTCCTGAGAAAGGAGCATTGGAAAAGAGCAGGGTGCACAGGTTCTGCGTAAAATGGCATAAATACCCTAGATCATACTTCAATCATTTGTACAGGAGGCTTAAAAGGCTCAGTAAATTTCAACTTAGAAATTCCACTTCTAGCTCCCTATCTTCAGGATACTGTTAAGGAAATGGGCAGAGGAGTCTTTATAATAATAAAATTTTCAAACAACCTACCAACTAAACCACACAAAAGTGATAAAATACTATATGGGAAACTGTTCATCTATGCCAGCTTCCTTAGTAGGAAAACATTCTGGCATGGTGGTATGTTTAAATACAGATTGGAGATAGACAAAGAGGTGAGGAAATAGTTTATTTCATATGCTCTAGAAAATGGGTAAATTAGCTTCGTGGGGAAGGATATTAGGTAGATATATCAAAATCCTAAATATGCATGCCTTGTAAAACAGCAATTCTACTTCCAAGAAATATATCCTGCAGGAACACTTGCTGTGTACACACAGGTGTGTGTGTGTGTGTGTGTGTGTGTGTGTGTGTGTGTGTGTGTAAAGAACAAAATCCATAAGTGGCCTAAATGTCCATAGAAGTCGTAAAACATGTTCAAACATTCTTGGGTACTTCTGTCAAGTTCCCTTTCTGCAGTTTGGTTAATGTGGATGCTGTGACCCAGGAAGAAACACTGTATATATCCTTACAAGAAGAGTAAGTTAGGAAAGGTTATGAAACATGCTCATTTTTTTTCTACCATACTCACCTTTAAATGTCAGCCACTATGCACAAATGTCTAATTTGTTTGAAACTGCCATGCTGTTAGGAAGCTTAGACCAGGTAAACAAGTGAGTTGTAGCCAATATCCAGTATCCACTTCCTGGAAGGTGAGTGAAAATACAACTTCCTTTCCTAACTGTTGCGCTGATCAGCTGTTAGCCACAGCTGAGGCCTCAGGCATCCTGAATCACAGATCATCATCCTCACTGTACCCTGTCCAATTCCCGCCCCACTGAGTGAGAAAAACCAGATAGTATTTCACACGACCAAAATTTGAACTCATTCTTCATGTATCATTGGTAACTAGAAGAAAAGAACATTAAAGTTAAAATATGACTCATGTAGAATAATGTAATATATAACTGTTGAAAGATTTTCAAATATAGTGGTTTTAGTATAATACTATGTATAGCATAACTTCAAAGTGTGAGAGAATTTTTAAAAACTGTATTTATGAACTTTCTTGAATGCAATTTTCTGATACATTTCAAGAACAGTTAAATAACCCAAGATAATTGATCCAACATTTCATCTTGTTGGAATACACCCTTAATTTAAAATTTTTTTAAATTTATATACAAATCCAAGAATTTCTCTTTGAAAAGTTCATCAGAATATTTCTAGGGGAAAAACAGGGAAATCGTACACTCAATACTAGCATAACAAGAATAATGCCATAATGATAGATAAGTAGATATTTCTGGTACAAACATGAAATGTAGATTAAATAGACAACTGTTTTGGAAAATACAAAATACCCAAATTTAATCAAAAAGGTATTTAAATTTTTAAATGTGTTATGAAGTAAAAAATCCTTCAGTGCTGCTTCCAAATTATTGTCAGGCACAAAAAGGTTTTTAGTCCAGTTTTCAAGCTTTAAGTGAACTAAGCTATCACAAATTAAAATTTCTCTAAATAGTAGGACTATTGATTATTTAACAATCTCTTTGCACTGTTTTACAGTTCAACATTCCAAATAATTTTACTATTAACATAGTAGCATTCTATAATGATGTGATTAAAGGCCTATTTAACTTTGAAGTGGAACTGAAATCATAAGAGTAAAGATAATTCCTTTTTACTGTATGACAGTGAAAAACAGGCTAGGGAGTGCTAGGAGTAATTTAAGCATGTTGAGATTTTTAGAAAAAGAGAGGACAGAGATGCTCCCTGGTGATAGGAGGAACTGTCCCAGCACCAGAAGCACCTGGCCAGGGGAAACACAGGTTCAGTTCATTAAGGCAATATGGACCTGGGACACAGAAGAGATACTCAAAGATCATGTCCTGTGTGGCAGCTCATCCACATGTATGTCGGTTTCCATATAAGTCATGTCACCTACTGATAAGCAAGACCAGCTACATAATTTTCAGGGCCCAGAACAAAATGAAAATGTAAGGCCCTTGTTCAAAAGCTTACTGAGAGAAGGGAAAATCTCTCTTCAGTAGGATCCCTTTATAAGATGCAAGGCTGCATGCTCCCACGATCAGTGTAAATAGTGTTTTACAACCCATCAAATAAGTGTAGCCCTTTTGTAACCATGTTTAATTTTCCCAAAAGACAAAGTACATTCAAAATCAGTTTGCTTAAACGAAATAAGCAAAGAGTCAAGGGAGATTCTTGGAAATCATTAACCAGTAACCCTCACAGTTCAGTTTGAGCGAAGAGGGGGAAAATTGGACATTGATCGGGTTTTTCCCTGTGCCTACCAGTGGAGATTTCAAATAGTTCCAAGTAGGTAAACTGAAAATCTGGGTCTGCGGCCTGGTTTCCACAGAGCCATCATTACACTGATACTCTTCAGCATGTCGGTGGAGCAGCACCCAGGTTTACGACAGCCTCAGCCCCTGGTCTGTCTTCTCCAGGAAGGCACTGGAGCAGAGGAGCTTAAACAAAGCGACAGAGCCCAACATCAGCCACTCCAGATTGGGAAGATCCTGACCTACGGGTGGAAAGAAGTTGGGGGCAACAATAGCAGCAAGAGCCAGTTCGTGAAGGGATAGTAACTGGGGGCGCAGAGGTGGGCACAAAGGGGGACGAGTAGAAAGGGTGGGGCCAAAGGGCTAGTGCGGAGGAAGGGGCGGGTCCGGGAGGCGGGGCCACAGGGTTGGAGCTGGGGAGGGGGCGGGGCAAGAGGGGGCGGACACAGCGGGCTGGAGTCGAAGGAGGCAGGCCACAGGTTTGACGCGGAAAGGGGGAGGGCCCAGAGAGGACGGGGTAGGAGGGGCGAAGCCCGGAGGGCGGTGCCTCATGGTAGGAGCCGAAGGGGGCGGGGCCACATGGTGGAGTAAGGCGCAAGCTCCGAGGGGGCGTGGCCACAGGGTTGGAGAGAGGGCGGGCCCAGGTCCTGTCCTTGGCGCCATGTTGAAGCCCCGCCCTTCCCTTCAGGCCGCTTTCCGTGTCTCGCCAGCACCACAAGCCGAGGTAAGGCGGGGAACTGGCGGAAGTCGGCAGCTCCTCGGCCGCCCCTCGCCCCTGGTTCTGGGACGGCCGCGGCTGCGCGGGGCCTAGTCGGGGCAGACGCCAAGCCTGCGGCGCGGATGTGCTCAGGCCGGAGCCACTCCGTCGCAGCCCGGGCCTGGACGGGATCCCGGGGCGCGGCGCTGCGCCTCGTCCCTAATCCTATTTCCTTCTCGGAGCTGGCTCCTGCCCGGTGTGAGCCCGGGCGCCGGGCTCGCCGCGCGCGGTCCCGCGGTCCCCGGGCGCCGGGCTCGCCGCGCACGCGCGGTCCCGCTGTCCCCGGGCTCCCGGGACCGCCCCGAGGCGCGCGGCGAGCGCGCGGGGCGCCGGGTCCCCGCCGGGCCGCCCCACCTCTCGGCTTTGGGGTTCACCGGTCCGGTTGGAACCGTGCCTCTCACCGCTCCTGACGGTGCCGTTTACTTTGTCAGACAAACAGGTGTGAGATGGGAGGAGGAGCCGTGCCCCAGGCTCCAGTGAGCCCAAGTGTGTTAAACGGATTACCACCCTGGGCTCCCGTGGGGCCTTAGCGGTTCCAGAACCTTCTAGGAAGTTGGAGGCTGACTTCTGTGTTTATATAGTTAGGTTGAAGGTGGGAGACAGAAGTGTGATTTTGTAAACATGGTTACTTAGGAACATTAAGTAATAAACGTAGCTCCTGTTACCCCTAATTTTTAAGCTTAGTAGTTTTTAAAACACAAGCACTTAGCTCTGTCAACTAGTACTTTCTTCTATCTTCATAAGCTTTTTTTTTTCTATTTTCAATTTTTAAAACTGGTACTGGGGCTTGAGTTCAGGGTCTGAGCATTGTCCATAAAGCTTTTTCTGGCTCTCAGCTGGTGCTCTGCTACTTGGACCACAGCTCCATTTCTGGATTTTGGGGGCGGGGGGGTAGTTAATTGGTGGTAAGAGTTTCCTGGACTTTCCTGCCTGGGCTGGCTTCCATCCTCGGGGATCTCAGCCTCCTGAATAGCTAGGATTATAGGCATGAGCACCTGTCATTTACAACTTCGTATGTATGTATGTATGTATGTATGTATGTTTGCCAGTGCTGGGGCTTGACCTCAGGGCCTGAACGCCTTCCCTGAGCCTTTTTGTGCTCAAGGCTAGGGGCTTTACCATTTGGCATAGCACCACTTCCAGCTTTTCTGAGTCGTTTATTGGAGATAAAGAGTCTCATGGACTTTTCTGCCTGGGCTAGCTTTGAACCAAGATCCTCAGATCTCAATCTCCTGAGTAACTAGGATTATAGGCATGAGCCGCCTACACCCGCTTAGAACCATTTTATATATATATATATATATATATATATATATATATATATATATATATATATATATATATATAATTAAAAAGAAAGGTCAGGCACAGAACCTGGGCCTGCACTGCACAGGATCCTCACTATCTCTGTCTTCCACCTCCCCATCTTATCTCACTGGATGGGTTTTGAGGCTGTAAAACAAAAAGATGTCATCTCCTCAAATAACACCACCTTTTTCTGTAATGACTTCTGATAAACGAATTACCTGCTCAATGATCTTTCCAAGGACCTGTCTTGGTTTCAACAAGTCCATAGCGGTTTGCTTGGTTTATTTCAGCACAAACTTGAGTTTAAGTAGAGAATGCATCATAGGCATTCCTATTAACAAAAGACCTTTTAGGGTTTGTGTTTGTGTTTTCAAGGGATTTGTTGAGATTTGTAAAAGCTGGGATTACAGTTATAAGTCACTGTGCCTGATAATTTTCCAAATGTCTTACAGTGTCAAACTTAAGTTTCAAACTTAAAAACTTAGCTTATCCTTTGTTTCAAAAAATCTTCCCACACTTTTTCATCTATTTGAATAAATCACAAGTCATCTATTACATCTGCTCTTTGAATGTTCTTTAATGATATTCTAAATCAATACTTTTGGCCAGAAGAATTATGACTAAAATACTTTCTATCTGTTGATAAAATACTTTCAATTACAAATCAAGAAGATTTCCTGAATTTTCTTTGGGGTTCTTCTTGCAGTTAGCTTTTCTTTTGCCTCTTTTTCAGCTATGTGTTTCCTAGGAAATAAGAATTTTTTCAGCTGCTTTTACAGGACCACTAGTGTATATGCAATCCATATGTATGTATTCCAACCCTCCTCATGGTCTGGTGCATATCTATACTAAAATTAAGGTTCAGAGTGGTGACCCATCAGCTGCATTTTCTATGCTGCCATATCCCAGGTGGATGGTCACCCATAGGCCTTAAAGAAAATATCCTTTGGGAATGTATAAGTAATCCATTTAGTTTTCAAGGTATTTTCCCTTTGATGCAGATCAAAAAAATGTAGCACTTAGGTAAATGAACTCACTTAAGTTTTATTGTTTATGAGTTACTAGAATAAAATTTAAAATTTTATTAATTAAAAATCCTTCATTTGGGGGGGAGGATTGGATGGGGGAGTGGGGGGAGGCTGGGAAGGGATGTGAAGGGTAAACAAAGGAGGAGGCTGCAATGCTTGATAAGAAATGTACTCATTATCTTGCCCATGTAATTGTAATCCCTCTGTACAGAGGGGTTCACAATAAAAAAAAAAAAAAAAGGGCTGGGAAGGTGGCTCAGTGGTAGAGCGCTTGTCTTGCATGCATGAGGCCCTGAGTTCGATTCCTCAGCACCACATAAGCAAAAAGAAAAAAGCCAGAAGTGACGCTGTGGCTCAAGTGGTAGAGCACTAGCCTTGAGCTAAAGAGCTGAGGGACAGCGCCCAGGCCCAAAGTTCAGGCCCCATGACCGGACCCCAAAAAATAAATAAATAAAAAATAAAAATCCTTCATTTTTCTTTTAAATTTTTTGTAGTACTATGGTTTGAACTTGGGGCATCATATTTGACGCCCTTATTTGCCATGCCTCCTGTATTGCTTTTTGCTATTTTAACATTTAATGTATATTTATTTTTGTAAGTTTGTGTTCTATAGGTAAAAAGAAACATCAAGGAATAGAACATTTATATTTAACTGGTTTGCATCTATTCCTGCTTTTGTTTCTTAATTGTGAATATTGCTACATAAAGCCTACGATGAAACTACTGAATGTTGTGTCTAATAATACATTCAGTTGCAATCTATTCTAGGCTTGAACAGCTAAGACATCAATATAGCTCTTTAACCCAGAAAAGTGAATTAAAATGGGTAATTTTCTTACAGCAATTTTTTTGCTGGTTATTTTAGAGATGCAGTCTTGAGGACTTTTTCTGTCTGTGCTTGCTTGAGATCCTCCAGATCTCAGCCTCTTGAGAAGCTGGGATTATAGGAATGACCCACCAGCACCTGATGTAACTTCTTTTCCTTTACCTTATTGGCAGTATTAGGATCTGACCTCAGGGCTTCATTCTTGCTAAACAGAATGAAGAATACTTGATTCATGCCTTCAGCTTATCATATAGGAAATTTGCATTGAAAATATAATCACCATATATAGTTTTCTTAGTTGATGTCATACTTTTTGTTAAATCTAACATTTTTCTTGATTTGTAATTGAAGATACTTTGCAAACGGGTAATTAAAAGTATTTTAGTCATAATTCTGGCCAAAAGTACTTGCTTGGAATTTCAGCTAAAGAACAGAGGTAATAGACTATATGTGGCTTAGTAAAATAGATGAATAATGATATGTAAAAAGATTTGTTAAAAAATTATTTAAAGTTTGACCTTGTATGTATGTAAGAAGCTTGGAAAATAACTGAGCACAGTGGCTTATGACTATAATCCCAAACAGCTCAGCAGGTGGAGATCACATGGATCTTGAGTTAGTTCAAGCAAAAAATTAGTGAGATTCCCAGCTCGAGAAAAAAAAAAAAGCTGGATATGGTGTCTAGATTTTCTGAAGAATTTAAAGATAGAATTGAAACTATTATCATTTAGAATTTTATAAAGACATTTCCAAGATTTCCTTTCATATTTTTATCAGATAAAGCTGTAACTGATCACTATATATTAGTGTATTTCTGAAGTTTTTTTTTTTTTTTTGGTCAGTTGTGGGGCTTGAATTCTGGGCCTGGGTGCTGTCCCTCAGCTCTTCAGCTCAAGGCCAGCGCTCTACCACTTAAGCCACAGCGCCACTTCCGGTTTTCTAGTGGTTTATTGGAGATAAAAGTCTCATGGACTTTCTTGCCCAGGCTGGCTTTGAACCGTCATCCTCAGATCTCAGCCTCCTGAGTAGCTAGGATTACAGGCGTGAGCCACCAGCGCCCGACTTATTTCTGAAGTTTTTATTTCCTATGTAGGACTCCGTACTGTGTATTTTCATGCTCCTAGGGTCAGAAGGAAATCTTTCCTTGAGAAAATTTTCTCTTTGTTTAGTAGGTATTTAGAATAAAAGTGTTTTTCACTGTCAAGATTGTATGATCAAATTAAAATGTGCTGGAGAAAAAAGTTAATTACCAAACTTCATTATTTTCTAATGACAAGTTCTTTTGATTCACTATTAACATGCTTCTCTATACTTGTTTTGTTGATATTTTTATTATCTTTAAGTAGTTGTACAAAGGAGTTGCCATTCAGCAAAGCAGTCTATGAATTCAGTACACCTTGATCATTGTCACCTCTTTTAACATTCTCTCCCATCCCTCCCAACCCACCTCTTCCCTCACTTTCTTTGAATTTTATAGAATACATATTCAATTTTTCACTGCATATTGATCTAAAATTTGTGTATTACTTGTTAATATATTAGTAATGGTATACCAAAATCATGAGATTTTTCAGTGTAAATAATGAATGAAACTGTGGAATATGCAATTTAATTTCTTAATGTTATTTCCCAGACACATGAAAAAAAAAACTCCAGGTAGAAAATAATTGTATGGCCATCTAATCCAAAACCAGTTTTATTTCAAGGTTTTCAGAAACTAAATCTTCAGAAATTAATGAGATTTATCTTCACCAATAGGAGAAGAATGGCATTAAAACAGATTTCCAGCAACAAGTGCTTTGGAGGATTGCAGAAAGTGTTTGAACATGACAGGTAACTTAAGATGCAGGTGATTTTAGATACTTCTTATTCAATTTATTTGTTCTGTAGTTTTAAACAAATCTTTTCATAATAGCATATTATTCTGCTATTAATATCTCTGTCTCTATGAGTATCTGACAGTTTCACAAACTTACTTGGACTGCATAAAGTAAAAAGTTATGAGTTAAAGAAAATCTTCAAGCTCTGACACTTTTCTAATACTTGGTGAAAATGCCTGTGCTGCCTCCGGGAAATTTAGAGAACGTCTTTCTTCTTTAGGGATCTTTTAAAATGAAAAAGACACCTGGCTTCGTTATAGGTGGCAGCTTACACTTCATGCATTTATCTCTGCTGCCTCCTCAAATCTGACAAACATGGTATTAAGAAAGTTTCAAGCACTAAGCACACAGGTGTACATACACACAGAAGAATCAGGGAACAGGAAGTAAGAACAGAATTTCAGAAGCAAGAATACAGATGGATGGGCACCACCAACTTAGCACAGCCTAGAAAGCCAAGTTTTGAACAGGAAGAGAAAGCTGAGAAGTGATGTATTTTATAAAGCCTTAGGAACCAGTGACATCAGGCACACAGGAAGGAAGATAAATATGGAGCTCAGGAAAGGTAGCTGAACATTTATGTTAAGAAAGCAGCTAGATCCCAGATTGTCCGAGCATTCTGTGCAGCCAGGCTGCTACCCTCTCCACCTCTGACCAGAGACTGGAGGTCTAAAGTTTAGGAAGGTAAGCAGTCTGTGCCAGAGTGTACCAGGGACAACTGGTGGAAGGTATAATGCAACTATGTTAAGCAAAAATGGGTATACTGAATTTCATCCACTCGCTACAAAAATTTGGGGAGTTTGGCTTGTATCCTCTTATAAGAGTTTTCTCTTGGGAATTTAGCTATATCCAAAAGACCAGGTTTTAAGAGATGCAGATTTGCCAGTAAAATGATCTGGCCAAGCATGGCTGGCACTGAAGCAGTAGTTAATACTCCTCACTTGCACTCTTCTTTCAATACGACAGTTAGTGTTTTCATGCTTAAATAGGAAGAGAAAGCTGAAGATCTCTTAGACATCCATGTAAGGCCACTAATTCAAAAGGCATACAGCAGCAAAAAAAGAACAAACATTGGAGGAAGTAGACTGCAATGGATGGACTTCAAATATACTAATGTTTAATATCAAAGTGATAGAGAATTTAACCCCTGACATCAGAAGAAATAATAATAAAATATTTAAGAACAAAACAGGCCAGAAATTTTATACTAGATAGTAGAAATGAGAAGCATTAGTTGATAAGACTGGACTTCCTGGTAGGGAATATGAAAAAAAAAAAGGAAAATCAAAGTGAGAAGGTAAGATTAGAGGACTTGCCTAAGACATTAAATATTATGAGTTTCGAAAAGTAAAACAGAAACAAAGATATGACTATAATTCTAGACTTATTAAACCTGAAAGGTTTAAGTTGCTGGCTTGAAAAGTGGTAGAACATACTGGATGAAAATGCACCAACATGTAGTTGTGGAGATGGGAGGGAAGGAATGGGAGGAGAAAAACAAAGGAGGAGGCAACAATGCTTGATAAGAAAGGTAATTGTACCTTGCTCATGTAATTGTAACCCCTCTGTACAGTATTTTCACAATAAAAAACTTATCAAGAAAAAAGAAAATGCACCAATATTGTTAAGTATTGGAGTGTTGGAAACAGAAACTTCCCCAAGTATCCAGGGGTTGGGGATTGATTAAGAATTTTCAGAGATATAGATCAGCTTACAGGGATTCAGAAGGCAGAGCAGCAGTGCCTCTAACATTCTGAAGGATGCCTTTTGTCACTAAAAGTATCCTTGTTAAGGGTGAGAGTAGGAAAAAGACTTTTCTGCCTGTATTAGTGTATTTCCCATGTAGCTCTTTTCTGGAAGTGGCTGGTCCATCTCCATCAAAAACAAAGGGCTAAAGTCAGAAAGCTTGAGATCAGGAAGAACAGGGTAGGTTAGAAAGTCCAGAGATCTGATAGCCAGTAGACATGTGTGGTTTAGTTAACTATTAAAAATGCAGCCCGCTATGGTGGCACACGCTGGTAATCAATGAGGAGGATGAGGCAGGAGGATCATGAGTTTGAGGCCAGCCTGGGCTATTCATTTGTCAGGTAGTGGGGGTCATCCCTATGATCCTAGCTACTCAGGAGACTGAGATCTGAGGATTTCCAGTTAGGAAAGTCCATAAGACTCATATCTCCAATAAACTATTCAGAAAAAGCCAGAAGTGGCACTGTGGCTCAAGTGGTAGAACACTAGCTTTGATCACAAAGAGGCTCAGGGACAACCCTCAGTCCCAGAGTTCAGCCCCAGAATAGACCAAAAAAAAAAAAAAGAAAAAAAATCAGTCCCTCTGAACTCTAATGGCTCACACCTGTAATCCTAAACTACTCAGGATGCAAAGCTAAGGGATAATGGTTTGAAGCTGACTTGGGCAGAAAAGTCCAAGGAATTCCATCTCAAAATAACTGGTTAAAAAGTCAGGCTAAAAGGATGGCTCAAGTGGTAGAGAGAGCATCAGCTAAGTAAGCAAGCCAAACGAGCTTGAGACATTGACTTCAAAACTCAGTATTAGGTTGGGTGCTGGTTGCTCATGCCTGCAAACTTAGGTTTTTAGGATGCTGAGATCTGAGAATTGTAGTTTAAAGCCAGCCTGAGAAGGAAAGTCCATAAAACTTAAATTCAAATAACCACCAAAAAAAAAATGAAGTGGAGTTGTGTCTCCAGTGGTTGAACATGAGCCTTGAGCAAAAAAGCTCAGGGATAGTCTCCAGTCCCTAAATTCAAGTTCCACAACCAGAACAAAACACAACAAAACAGAAAGCCAATACTACCTCAAAGGAAAAAAAAAAGTTCTGCCAGCCACACTTCAAGTGCTCAGTAGCTAGTTATATGTGATAGAAGGCCATTGGCAGTGCTGATACAGAACAGTTTTATTATTGCATAAAGTTCTGTTGTTTGAGATTTTTTTATAAGAAAAATTGATTGATACACTTGGCTAAGAAGAAATTTATGAAAGTGGATAAGAGGACTTTGATGTTGAATTAGTGATAGTACAAAGTGGCCATACCAGATCTCTATATACTCTTAGCATTTGGGCAGCAAATACCCAATGGCATGATAGGGCCTCAGATGCTTCAGACCTGATTTATTTCACTATTTGAGATAGTTTTTTGTTTTGTTTTGTTTTTTAAATTGTGGTAAGAAAATTTAATATGAAACTGTTCTAAACCAATTTTTTTTTTTTTTTTTTTGTCGCCCATGGAGCTTGAATTCTGGGCTGGAAACTGTCCCTGATCTATTCAACTCAAGACCAGCACTTTACTACTTGAGCCACAATCCCAATTAAATGGTGGTTAACTGAAGATAAAAGTCTCACAGACTTTCCTGACTGGGCTGGCTTTGAACTTCAAACCTCATATCTCAGCCTCCTGAGTAGCTAGGATTACAGGCAAGAGCTACCGGAGCCCAGCTTGACCAAGTTTTTAATATTAACATTTTTATTACACTTAACAAAAATTTAAGTGTACGAAAAGGTTTTCTTTTGTTGTGTTATTTTGTTTGATCTTGATCCTCCTGCTGCATCCTCCCAAGTGCTGGGATTAAAGGCATATACCATCATGACCCACTTAAAAAAAGGTGTTAAACCATCCACTTACTGGTTTTTGCCAACTGATAATAACTGATTATAAATATCCTGGTATTGGATATAGATCTAATATAGTATATTATGAAAGAAACATCTGAACTTCCCTAATAGCAGTTGAAGACATTAAAAGCAACTTCCAGAAACTTTTTATGACTCTAATCAAGAATAAGAAAGTTATAAAAGTAAATCAAACTTCTGCAGAGAATGGAAGGGGAGCATGCAGAAGACTTCTTATTACATTGAGGGGGCTGTTGTGGGAGCCAAGCAACAAACAACAGTTTACTAACTCAAGGGAAACAGAAGACTAAAAGAAAAAGCAAAGTAGTCCTAGTAGCTCATCTCTGGATGTACTGATAGCTTCCTAGAGGAATGTAGAAATGTACGGAGAACAAAGGCAGGGTGAATTAACTAGCACCCTGCCCATAGTGGGATGTTAGTAGGTAATAACAAACTAAAAAAAGAAAAATCAAGAAAACATTTGAACATTAGATCACTTTTTTGGGCCTTTACTATATATCTTGCATTCTAAATAGTGCTTAATTATTTTGTTTTGGTTAATGGGGAGTATTAATATTTTGTTGTGATTGTGATTGAAATTACAGTGTTGAGCTGAACTGCAAAATGAAATTTGCTATCTACCTACCACCAAAGGCAGAAACTGACAAGTGCCCTGCACTCTATTGGCTGTCTGGTATGTATTACACTTCTGAGTTTTACACAGGAATTATTCTTTTTAACTGGTTTACTCCCCACACACACTTTAATTTTTACTTATTTATATGCTTTTTGAGCCTTTTTTTATTTTTAGCAGTCTCTCCTAGTCTACTGGCATTTACTGGCATCATAACTTAAGAATAATTTCAGATCTATGAAATTACATTTACTCATTTCTCAATTAGACCAGGTAACTTAGCAGAGGACATAAAGTTCTCGACTCACTGAAAAGGACTTGGAAAAGTTATTTATCTACCTTACAGCTTCCTACGTATTTCTGAAATGGCAGAAACTTTACCAGTAAAATAGAACAATATTAGATGAAACCACACCATGAATACTAACTAGAAACCACAGACATGTCACTTCCTACAGTGATCTTGAGAATATTTTAATTAAACTCCATAGAGTATCTATGGCAGTAGTCTGGACAATCACAAAGAACACTGTTTCTTCAGTGGCTTATATTTCCAATCAGACTGTAGATAGAATTGAGGAACGAAGACTTTGATCATGGTAGTTTTGAGTGTCAGTGCTTACAGATATTGGCTTTTCATTTTAGAGGCAGACATTACAATGAGAGTTAAAACAACCAAATTATAATGTGTTATTTTGTTTCCTTAAAATTATTCTTTTTTGGGGGGCATCCAGTCGTGGGGCCTAAACTCTGGGCCTGGGCGCTGTCCCTCAGCTCTTCAGCTCAAGGCTAGCCCTCTACCACTTGAGCCACAGCACCACTTCCAGCTTTTTTCTTTTTGCTTATGTGGTGCTGAGGAATCGAACCCAGGGCCTCAGGCATGCAAGGCAAACGCTCTACCACTGAGCTACCTTCCCAGCCCCTAAAATTATTCTTATAACATTGTTTTAATAAATATTTATTTAGTTAAAGGTAAGATTCAAATACCAGTCTTTGAGAATGAGAGTATTTCATTTTGAAAGGTAAAAGCTAAATATGTATCTGATTTTTACCTTAACTGATTAAATAATGAACACTGATTTTTCTAAAAGCACATTAGGTATTTTGAAAAGAATTAGCAACAAAATTAGATACTTAATTGTAGAAAATGTAATATTGTGTAACTAAAGGTAACCTTAGAAATCATTTGATTCACATAAAGAAAGCCAAGTTCCCCCAAAATATAAGTATTACCCCAAATCACATAACTGTGAGATTGAACAAACTCTCTAACTTACAATCAAAACTTTTATTAAGTGTTATCGTTTTTTCTTTTTGAATTTTATTTCTGATGAGAACAACTAAATCATTTCTTTTGACTACAGATTAATAATTCAGGTCAGAAGTACCAGGCTATTAAGTTATGGGTACTATGGTAATAAAACCCTAAGTACCTAACCAAAATTGAAATCTATCAAAACAGATCATCTGAGCTTTATGAATATAAAATATAGAACTTGTATTTGTTTACAAAATGAAAAGCCTGTTTCCTTAGTGAGATGCTGAAAAACAGAGATTGTATCAGTTGTTTCTCGTCAAAACTGATCAACTAGCTGAAATCAAAACATGTAAACTAAAATCTTGATATAAAACAGTCCTTTCATTAGCTACGTACCCAAGAGAATTGAAAACATGATCATAAAAAGCTAAAAACTGGGACAAAATGAGGGAAGGAATGACACTGTCTAAAAAGAAATGTACTTATTACCTGACATGTAACTGTAACCCCCCTCTGTACATCACCTTTACAATAAAATTTAAATAAAAAAATAAAAAGCTAATGTTGATAGCACATTATTTATGATAGCCAAAACACAGAACAAACAAGTGTCCTTCCAGTTAAACGTGACAGGTCCATAGAACAGAGTATTACTTTGTTTATATTTTCTTCATTTTCTCTAGAGTCAACAGAATATTAAATAATAGGAATAATAAATAGGAAGTACTGAAGTCCTCATACATGTTAAAACATGGAAACCTGCAAGGTGAAAATAGGCCATTTCACAAAAACCACATATTAAATTCCATGTATATGAAGTGCCCAGAAATTCATAGAAAAAGTAGATTAGGAGTTGCCTGGGTTGGTTGAGTAGATTGAGATAAATGGTAACTTCTGATAGGGATTTCTCTTTGAGGTGATGAAAATGTTCTCAAATTAGTGGTAATGGTGGTACAACTAAATATATTAACAGTACCAAATTGAATTTATCTCAGAAAATAGTTACAAAATAATTTACTTTTTCCTATAAAATAAGTAGGTGTTAATTGCTACTATCTACATACTCAAGAATAATCCTAGTTGAAATATTTTCATTTCTGTGACTACAGTTACTGTAGTCAAAGAACTTGTGTTTTGAAGAACTTTTTTTTTCTGGTGTCTAACAAATTTATATTTCTCAAATACAAGTCTGTCATAGACCCAGTTCATAGTTTTTTTTTTTTTTTACATGTAAGCATTCCTATGAGATAGAAAGAAGCAATAATGATTTTCATATTTCACATGAAAGAACTAAGGCTTAGAATATTCAAGTTAGTAAAATATGAGTAATGCTTAGAACCAGATCTCTTAAATCTTAAATCCATGCTTTCTATACTATTAATCTGCATCATTTTGGTGTGGGGGGGGTGGGGGTGGGGGAGGAGGGCTGGGGGAATTTACAGAGTTGTTAACTATTTATCAGTATTGGGAAAGTTTTCCATCATGGTATAACTCCAGTCTCTGGAAAATGTGTGGGAAGGAAAGTAATAGACATATAATGGCTTTGTTTTTCTGATGTGACTGGTGAAGTCTTGTATGTCTTTATGCCATAAACTTCCATGAGAATACTTGTGACTTTGTGTCTGGTTATTATTAATTTAACAGTTGTTTATGGGCAACTACTTTCTAAGTCTTAGATAACAAATGTAAAAGTGTTTTTAAAAAGCAAAAACATGCCAGGAGTGGTGACTCAAGCCTATAATCCTAGCTACTCAGGAGGCTGAGATCTGAGGATTGAAGTTCAAAGACAGCTGGGCAGGAAAGTCTGTGAGACTCTTATCTCCAATAAACCACTCAGAAAATGACAAAAAAAAAAAAAAAAAGCATTAGCTAGGTGCTGGTGGCTCACACCTGTAATCCTAGCTACTCAGGAGGCTGAAATATGAAGATCATGATTAGAAGCCACCCAAGCCAAGAAAGTCCATGAGACTTTTTTTTTTTTTTGGGGGGGGGGGGTGGGTGTGGTTTCCGGTCGTGGACCTGAACTCTGGGCCTGGGCGCTGTCCCTCAGCTCTTCAGCTCAAGGCTAGCGCTCTACCACTTGAGTCACAGCGCCACTTCTGGCTTTTTTTTTCTGCTTATGTGGTGCTGAGGAATCGAACCCAGGGCCTCATGCTTGCAAGGCAACACTCTACCACTAAGCCACCTTCCCAGCCCTCCATGAGACTCTTATCTGCAATAAACTACTCAGTGAAAGCCAGAAGTCACTGTGGTTCATTTGATAGAGTGCTAATCTTGAGCAAGAAAAAAAAAAAAAAGCTCAGGGACAGTGCTCCGGTTGAGTTCAAGCCTCAGGATCGGCAATAAATAAATAATAAGTTTTTAAGTTAAATCATACTGAAGCATACTATCAGTATGCCTTGCTGTTGCTGATGATCAGATGTAGTAGAGTATTAAACACTGGCCACTGGAGAAAGCTCCTGTTGTAAGTACTGTTTAGCTCAAGAATATTATGCTATTTTGTCTTTTTTTTGGGGGGGAGGGGGCAGTCATGGAGCTTGAACTCTGGGCCTGGGCGCTGTCCCTCAGCTCTTCAGCCCAAGGCTAGCTCTCTACCACTTTAGCCACAGGTTTTCTGAGTGGTTTATTAGATATTAGAGTCTCACTGACTTTCCTGCCCCAGCTGTCTTTGAACCTCATCCTCAGATCTCAGTCTCCTGAGTAGCTACGATTACAAGCATGAGCTACTGGCGCCCAGCTTGTCTTGTCTTTCTCATACCATTATAATAGTATCATATATCTGTGTGAGAATAGCCATAGTATATGCTTACTGTATGTTTTGATGCAGAAATAACCACATATTTAACCACCATATTTATTAACACCTCATTTGTTTGATAATGCCATTCTACGGTTTAAAAAATTGGTTCTCAAGTAAGTCTGCTCCAAAGAATTCTAGTAATTAAGGCTAGTAAGAGACTTTGAAAGGATAGTTTGGGGACCTTTTAACCTAAGACAATTCTTAGATTAATATTATTTTACATTTTAAAAGAAGGAAAATTACATGGCTTATTCAAAATTTCTTGTAAGACAAAAGTAATTTTTTTATTTAATATTACTAAGTGAGCTTGTTTTCTTATATTGTAAGATTAAAACTTTATAATCACACTACAGCATAAGATGACAATTTTTTTTGTTTGTAGGTTTAACTTGCACAGAACAAAATTTTATATCAAAGTCTGGTTATCATCAGGCTGCTTCAGAACATGGCCTTGTTGTTATTGCTCCAGATACCAGCCCTCGTAAGTGATTTTGTTCCAGAGATCCTTTATACAAACCTAAGTTATAGGTGGTATAATGTGCACTACAGAATTCATCTCATATATTTGCTATTATCTTTTCATCTTTCTATAGCATCCTGACCCTAAAGTACCATACCTTTGAGTGGATTGGGGAAATGTAGTGATTCCAGAGTTCAAGAGAGTAAGCTAAGCACAAGCTCCATCTCCCCGCTCTGAGATCAACATGGTGCAAAGAGTTAAAGAAGTGTTGGTAGTGGGAGAAGAAGAGGGTCCCATAGGGATCTCTATGCAGTTCTGAATGACAAAGATGATATGCTTTTTGTAACCCAGGGAAGAAGTTTGTTCAAAACATAGGAGAGACAGGACTTCATCAATAAAGAAAGCAATTTATCACTTTGTCAACTGATTTCTCCCATTTTAAATATGATTCTCACTCATCTCATTGGCCAGACCATTATTTCTTCTCTTACCTCCCATGGCCCAATCAAGGACAAAAGAGCCGGAAAGTATAATTCAACCATTTGCCCAAAAGGAGGGAGCCCAGTCCATATTTGTGCCTATGGACTTGCAAATTCATCTGTGTTAGTAAACATGAAGAGTGACTACTGCATAGGTGAAATCATGGGTTCTTCATTGATAGGTGGCTGCAGTATTCAAGGAGAAGATGAGAGCTGGGACTTCGGCACCGGTGCTGGGTTTTATGTGAATGCCACTGAAGACCCTTGGAAAACTAATTATAGAATGTACTCTTATGTAACAGAGGAGGTAATGTCATTTTACTGTAATTATTAACTCATGGCTGGCAAGAGTTTCACTTAGACAAAATTCCTCCCAGGCAGTCCTGAAGTGATTGGGTATAATATTGGTAAACCTATTTCTACACCTATAAATTATCTTAGTAAAAATTTCAGTCTAAAATTATATCTATGTTTGCTATACATACCACCAAGTAACATATGTAAAGACTTTAATAATTATATTAAACTGCTCCACACTACCCAATTACCAAAGAAAATACATGAAACAGCCATTCATTCATTTCCTGACAGCTGGTTCATTCAAATACATTTTATAGTTGTAAACCAAGGTTTAATTAGAAAGGACAAATAGAAAAACATTATATCTGTTAATAATGATATTCAATTTATGCATTTTTACAAATGGTATAATTTTATTATATACATCATAATGACTCAGATACCGTAATTAAAATTTTAACCACCATAATTGTTGGTAACTTACTTGTTTTGATAAGTTCTAGGGACTCAACCCAGAGATTCATACATGCTAGAAAAGAGCTCTACCACAGAACTACACTCTCCCCCCAGTCACTTGTAATGTAACAATTATGTTTTCATATATTGCAGATTAGACTTTAAATTTTTATTTATTTTGATAAGACATCCCTAAGTATCCCATGCTGGCCTTGCACTCATTCAAAATTTTCCTGCTTTAAACTCTTGGCCTAGACTTTTGTCTGTGACTAATTTCACCGAATTTTAAAACTTATTTTACTTTATTGTACAAAATAAATATGTTTCTGTTTTATTCTAATGTTAACAATTATATAATATTATGTAATATACTTTTCATAGCTTGGGATATTTATGTTTTTGTGTATATTATAGTAAATATTATCATTTATATAATTTTTCTTCTCTAAGGAATTTTCCCTAAGAATAGATTGTAAGATGTGAAACTACCAAGGTTTTTCAATATTATTGCCCTAAGTTTGTAAAGTTACTTTTTAAGAACCATATATATATTTTTTTAATTTTTTTGTTCTGATCCTGGGCACTGTTCCTGAACTTCTTTGCTCAAGGCTAGTGCTCTACCATTTGAGCCAGAGCTCCAATTCTGTGTTTTTTAGTAATTTAGTGGAGACACGAGTCTCATGGACTCTTGCTCTGGCTGGCTTTGAACCATGATCCTCAGATCTCAACATCCTAAGTAGCCAGAATTACAGGCATGAGCCGCCAGAGCCTGGCAAAAATCATATATTTTAAATTATGTATTAATAATCATTGTCTACCTGAATTTTTTTCTTTTAGTCTTTGCCAGTCCAAGTCATAGTAAGGCTGATTTGGAAGTATTAATTGTATAATTAAATTATATAACTTTGAAAAAGTCTGAGCATATTTCCTCTGATATATTTTATCATACCCATATTTTTTTCTAGCTTCCTCAACTCATAAATTCACATTTTCCAGTGGACCCCCAAAGGATGTCTATTTTTGGCCACTCCATGGGAGGCCATGGAGCTCTGATTTGTGCTTTGAAAAATCCTGGAAAATACAAAGTAAGATTATCTATGCTACTAGTGTTACATATTTCTCTTGAACAGTATAATATTGGGAATTTTCAGCAATTGAAATGATTACATTGTTGTTTTAAAATCAAAATGAATTTTCTAAGCTTAGAAATTTGGGGAGATTGATGAAGGGCACTATATTTGATGACTATAAGACCAAGAGTGTAAGTATTCTATCAAAGTGGTTTCTTGTAGTCTTACTAGAAGTATTATAAAATGTACTTTATCTTTTCCATTATTTTTTCAAACTAGTTTTGAATGTATTTTTCTCTCCCCAATGAAGAATAACAGTCTTGATTAATATTGTGACAGTATCTATCATTTACTTGTATTTTCATCAGAAATAACTTTGTGAAGTTGAGATTTTCTTAGAATATATTCATGCTGAGTAGAAATTGAAAAATTCTCTGTCCTTAAGACCTCTAATGAAAATTGATATGCTGCTTGGATTGAAAAATACCACCCAGACTCTTTGCTAGGCTTCAGTGCTTTACTTTATATATCTTTATGGCCTTTCATTTTAAATGAGCCAAGTTTGAATATCTACCATATGTCAAGTGTCATATTATACAGAGCAGTATATTAAAAGGATTGAAAGTGAAATGTACTTTGAAACAATGATTACCTTAAGATTGCTTCTGTTTACAAACTCCAGGACTTTTCATTATCTTGAGATTTCTTTAATCCATTTGCCTCCCTAGGAAAAGCTTCTTAGTCATTTCAGGTATGCTACTAAGAAATAAAAATATTTGTTGTAGCAATTTCATAAACAGCAGTAGAAAACCAGGATTATGATAAGGCAATTGGTTTCTTGTGTCTGAGGTTGAAAAACAAACTTGAATTTTTGTTCTTTAACATGCTAGTGGACATTGTTATATACATTTATAAGTATATAGCATTCTATAGGTGCTGCACAAGCCCATCAGTGCATGAACAACATGTGGAGAATACAAAATTGTTTTAGAAATTCTGTCATATATAAAAGCATTCCTTACTGCTTGTCACTAATTAAGAGAAAATGTCTCAGATTTAGTAGCATGTTCACTGAAGTAGGCACGAACCCCTATTTTATATTAATACAGAATAATTTTTAGTGGAAATGAGTGAAACTCTGCAGATCATTTGTTTGTACCACAATTAAACTGTAATGAACTGCTTTGTGTTAAATGCCTCCATTTATTAGCTCTCAGCAGAATATACAAAAGATGCATTATGAAGAGGCATTATGAACAGTTGAGGTCTGTTGTTTACAGAGATTTTCATGGTGACTTAGTTTTTAAGTGAGTTGCAAGTATCATATTTGATGTAGTAAAATATAACATTTTAAATTTTGTTTTTCTTAAGTCTGTTTCAGCATTTGCTCCAATTTGCAACCCAGTGCTCTGTCCTTGGGGCAAAAAAGCCTTTAGTGGATATTTGGGAACAGATCAAAGTAAATGGAAGGTAGGTGTTGCGTGACTATCAATACTCATTTTTAAATTTGCTAGTTTTTAAAAAGTTGTACATACCACAGATGTATTCCTAGCCCACTCAGATTAAGGCTCTAGAACTGGGGCTGGGAAGGTGGCTCAGTGGTAGAGCGCTTGCCTTGCATGCATGAGGCCCTGGGTTCGATTTCTCAGCACCACATAAGCAAAAAGAAAAAAGCCAGAAGTGGCGCTGTGGCTCAAGATCTAGCCTTGAGCTGAAGAGCTGAGGGACAGCGCCCAGGCCCAGAGTTCAGGCCCTACAACCGGACCCCCCAAAAAAAATTTTTTTTAAAAAGGTTCTAGAACTGAGAATATTTGAATAAACTATTGAAGTTTTATAAGAAAAAGCAAAATTGTATAGTACTCTCTTTACTTTAAAACTGCTGTCTATATAGTAACATATATATGTCATATATGTAACTATACATACATGTTATAAATATATACATATATATAACACATATATATAGAGAGAGAGGATGTGTATGTATGGTTGGAGAGAGAGAGAAGGAAGGAAAGAAAAAGAGGACACTTCTCATATTTGTGGGTTCTTCGTCTGGATTGAATCAAAACTTTTTAAAACTATGTCGTAGTAAAACATTCATAAACTTTTTTTCCTTGTCATATTTTCTAAACAGTCCATTGTAACAAATGTTACATCACATATGTGTTCGGTAATTATAAATACTTCAGAGGTTTGAGAGATTGTCTGTAGGCTCTGTGCAAATACTCAACCATTCTAAGGAATGGACTTGAGCATCTGCAGATTGTGGTATTGGGATATTAGACTCAATCCCCACAAATAACAAGGAACACATAATTATACATAAACAATCATAACCCCTAATTTCTAGTTTTTGAAATCCTGGAGATATTCTGAGCTATGCTTTCTGGTTAATTTATATTTTTATGTCTAAATTAACATTACTTTTAAATTAACAGCCAAAATACCATGCATATATTATTAGTAAATTTAATCAGCCTAACTGCTTAACTAGATTTGATTGTCTTTTAGGATCTAGTATAGTATATTCCAAAGAATATCTTCCTTGGAACTTTCAATTTTAATGTTTTTAATTTTAATGTTTTAATTTCAATGTTTTTGTTATAGGCTTATGATGCAACACATCTTGTGAAGAACTACCCAGATTCTAAGCTAGACATACTAATTGATCAAGGAAAAGATGATCAGTTTCTTTCAGATGGACAGCTGCTTCCTGATAACTTCATAGCTGCTTGTACAGAAAAGAAAGTCCCTGTTGTTTTTAGATTACAAGAGGTAAGTACCAGGAAACTAGCTTGATCTAAATAGCAAAACTATAAAGCAACAAAATTCTATACTGCTCTCAAGTTATAATTTAAAATATAAAATTTTACCTCTTAATTACTTTAGGACACTTGAAGTGTATGCCTTTCTGTTCAGTTCATGGTATTTAAGACCAAGTATGATAGAAATAGGAAAGCTCTTAGCAATGAAAAGTTTTCTTTCTTCACCAAACAGTTAAAAACAAGTTTAAGGCTTAACATTACTGACTCTATCTGTCTCTACATGTGCTTCGTTGTTATAGTAGAATAAGGCCAACTTGCTCCATTAATTCTTTTTTTTTTCCATTTTTTTATTATTAATAAGTTTTTTATTGTGAAAATACCGTACAGAGGGGTTACAATTACATGAGCAAGGAAATGAGGACATTTCTTATCAAGCATTTTTGCCTCCTCCTTTGTTTCCCCTTCCCATCTCCCTCCCCACCCTGCCAAAGTTGTAATTCCATTTTTCAACATAATGTCTTATACATCTCATTGGGTCACCTGTATCCCTGTTTAAACAATTTGGTCTTTCCCTTCCCCTCCACAAATTATACCAACATCAAATACAGTAAAAGCAGGGGTTAAACCACAAATTATACAAACATCAAATACAGTGAAAGCAGGGGTTATACCGTGGGGGAGGGACATACACATCTGAGCCTCAGAAGCTGCTCATGTGTTCACACATACATGCACTTGTATTATCTGACTTCCATGCTAGTCATCTCTTGTGCTCCTTGGAAGTTCTGCTGGTGTGAGGATAATCACTGTATATCATTTGGCTTACAAATGTGTCTTAACTTTTGACTACCCAGTACTCATGAATACATCATTTTTTTTTAAATTTTATTTTATTTGTGAACATACTGTACAGAGGGGTTACAATTACATGGGCAAGGTAATGCATACATTTCTTACCAAGCATTGCAGCCTCCTCCTTTGTTTACCCTTCACCTCCCTTCCCAGCCTCCCCCTTCCCCCCCACCCAAACCTCCCCCCCCCATGAATACATCATTTTAAGTAAAGAAATTCTGCTTTTAGTTTTTTAAAAAAACTATTAATAAGCTTCAGAACATAGTAGAAAAAAACCTTTTATTTGGGGGTAAAAAAATGAACATTGAAAATTATATATTATATTTAAAAACATTCTTGTTAATGTTTAAAAGTAACATGTCAGACACATTTACCTGGAATGTAATTATTTAAATCGGTCTAGTGACTGTATAATGGTCCATTACAGTTGACACAGCGTTTTCATAGCCTTAACTGCCAAATGCGAGATCATTCCTTTCTTATACATCTATTTTACAGATGAAATAACAGGTTCAGAGAAATAACCTGTGACCCGCTGTATGGTATAACCAGGACTAACAGATCATAAATTTGGTCCTGAAATCTGTCTAGCCATTCCCAGACAGTATGGCCCTAAAGCAGGGGTAAATGGATGGACTTAGAGGTAGTGCAAGGAGAAACTGTATAGCCTTCTATAACTTATGCAGCACATCTTAGCAGTTTCCCTGCTTGTACAGGTAGTTAGAATGTGAACTGTATGTCATGTGGGGAAAACTGGTCAGAAACTAATGTATTTTATAGATAGATCTCATGTCATCTTTATCTCTTTTTTTTTTTTTTTTGAGTCCAGTCGTGGGCCTGAACTCTGGGTCTGGGTGCTGTCCCTCAGCTCTTTAGCTCAAGGCTAGCAGCGCTCTACCACTTGAGCCACAGCGCCACTTCCAGCTTTTTGCGTTTTGCTTATGTGCTGAGGAATTGAACCCACGGCCTCAAGCATGCAAGGAAGCGCTCTACCACTGAGCCACCTTCCCAGCCCTCATGTCATCTTTATATCTTAACTCTTGATGGACTATTTTTAGATGTATTTGAACATTTACCATTATAGTTACATTTTAGATTACAGTCAACCTTGAGAAATCCAAATTCCAATTTGATTGTAAGTGTAATAGTGTATTTAACTATATTAATTGTAGCTACGATGTTTTGTTCCAAATGACCTTAACTCCTTGGCATTTGCCATGTTGGATGCCTTGTCTGCTTCCTCTAAGGCTGTGCCAAGGAAATCTCTTGTTTCTGCAGACTAAGTTTCTGCCTGCCGATAAAGTCTGAAAATCTCTGGAGTTTGGTATAGTTAAACACAGGTGACATTGTTGGAGGGGGAAAAAACTACATCAGCTAATTATTTCTTTCCATGCCTGTACCCCATGCCATGAAAAGAAAATGTGGTTGACTATTATGAGGAGACAAGAGAGGAGTCAGTTGATTGCCAAGGGTTGGTATGGTAGAAGAGGCGGGGCAGGAGGGAGACCAGTATGTTTACAAGAGAATTGCACAGAGGATCTTTGCTCAGTTTCTTCACTGTAATGGTGGATGCATAGAACTTCCCAGGTGATTAAGTGCATTGCATCTTTCATAATAACTTCCAGAGTAAAATTTAGATACACCCGTTTTCTAATTCAGTCTAAATGCAGTTAGTCACTTTGGATACAGAAATGCATGCAATGCTGGAGAAATCTGAATAAGGTATTTATTAAATCAGTATTAATATCCTGGTTATACTATAGATTCACAAAATGCTAGCATTGGAAAAATATTTGGATTTCTCTGTGGAATTTCTCACAACTGCAAATGGGCCCATTAATCATCTCAAGAACTTCTATCCAAGGAAGAAAAAAAAATTACAACCATATGTATAATTTACCTGAAATAACAGTTTTCCTGCCACTTTTTAGCATGTTAAACATGCATAATTTGTTTATTCATTGTACATTGTCAAAAAATTGTTTGAGAGATGAATTAACACATGGAGATATTTATGGTTACTTCATATAATTTTTCTTTATTTGTCTTGGGGGGGTCTACTTGAAAAAAGAACAAAAAAAGCACTAGGTAACAGGATTCTGAAAGCTGCTGTACAAAGACCAGATCTCTAATCTGAAAAAGCAGAGCTTAGCAGTGCTTAGCGATTGAAGTTTATGTGTTGAAAAAAAAATTTCAGTGACCTAATACTGAGGAAACTTCCAGAAATAGTTTTCCTTTCCTGGAAAGAGAGGTTACCCTAACTCCCTAAGTCTGAGGGCCCTGTTTGGTGTCTTCCTATGCCTCCTAGAGAAGACAAAAAATGTGGCAAAGAGCTCTCACACTGTAGGCATTTCACTCATCTGTATATGCTCATGCTTAGCATTTGACCAGCACATAGATTCTGGTGTTTGTTAAATGAACAGGTGACTCCTCTGAACAGTTTTCTTTGTACTGTATAAATTTAACATCAGGATTCATGTCTAAGCTTTACTAATTGGGTCTGGAAAATATGTAGGAAAACACTGCCTGTTAGATTGAATGTCCACCTGAGCTTCTGGAACACTGACTCTTTTGGAGAGTTGAGTGAAGAACAGAAGAGTGTGAGTGTTTATTTTTATACTCGCAAGAGTCTTTTTTGTTACTGTAGATTTTCCATTTGAAGTTTGAGGTTGAGGAGAAAAGTAAAGTCCCTTCAAGTATCACTAAATATAGACAATTATACAAACTGCTTGTACAAGCTGTCTGGTATGTGACTACCAAATCAGCTCATTAGTCAAAAGAATAGAATAAACCATACTACTTAGTGAGACTGAGAAGCAAAACATGAGCCTAGTCAGGGATGGCACAATGAGCTCAAACTATGACTTCAGATAGGTTTTCTTCTGTCTTGATTACTTTAAGTACCATTGTGGATGTTAAAGACAGTTGCTTTTAAATGTTAGATAAAACAGACTTGCCTTGCAGTACATTCTGAGAGATCAAAATGAGCATTTTGCCTTACTCCAGAACTTCTGATAGTAATGGATTTAACATGAGGATTCACCATCAGTGGCCATATGTCTCTTATGCATCTGAATCATGCAAAGCAGTTAACAAATGTGAAACTAAGGATGAAAATATAACATACTCGGTCATGTTAGGGCTATATAATCACAAGTTGTTTTAGACATCTGTTTTCCTGCATTTCTGCCCATTTTCTTCAGATCCTTGTTTGATCTGTGAAAAATGGTGAGTATACTTGGTCCTGCATTTTATAGGTTTTGTGGACTAAAAATTATGGACTTAAAATAATTGGGAAGAAGGTGGCTTGTTTTTTATATCTTTATATAAGAAACTGATGGTTCATAGGATGACTAATAAGAGATTGAAACCAAATAATTCCAGGGCTCAGCCTTCAGGTTGACAACCTTCCTGTCATATACTCTTCCACAGGAAGCGACAGATTGCTTTCAAGTTACTTCGATAACTTTCTAGTAAATTTTATTATTAATGGTTGGCTGCTCTTGATAGATGCGCAATTCCATACCTTCTAGAAGTAAGAAATTAAGAACATTTATTGATTCATCAAAACAGTGAGGATTTGCCTCATGCCCTGAAACCCTAGGGATATTCTTTTTAGGTATATTTTTATTTCTTACATGCTTAGAGAAATTCCCATTCCTCCCATCAAAAGACCATTCATTTACTTACTAGTTAAGTTGAAAACTTAAATTCTTTCTTAGACTTACTTCTTTCAGTTTTTTCTGCCTTGGTTTTAATTGCCATTAGTTGTGGATGTCCTTCCAACTTATGTGGTGCATAACACCCTTAGAAAGTCCTTCCCATCTTGGTTCACATTGTTCTTTTCCTCTGAAGACTACTTAACTCTGTTCTAAGAGGTATCATAGTCACTAGAGAAAGGTTTTCATTGGCTGGGTAGGTAGAGATCTGTCTCAGATACTTTACACCTTTCATTTTCTTTCTGTTTCAAGGTAGTTTTCAAAAGATTCACAGGATTTTACTCAGTTTGATAATCAGGTTTAATGAATGATTCTGTTCTTTTCCAATGAACGTATGATATGTGTAAGAAGTAGGATTCTAAACATGGTTTGTCATGGCTCTGTTTAAGCACAACTTAAACAATGATAGAGCTTTTAAGGCATTTTTCTATTTTTCTCTGCATCTTTTATGTGTATTTATTTTTTGGTTTTAAAAGTTCACTACTTCATTGCTACCAGTATGCTGCTTTTATGAATTAAAATACCTTGCCTGTGTTTCCAAGTTCTCTAAATCCAGATTCTTTTAATCCTTGTCAATATGAGCACCTGTCTGATCTGCCTGTTTAATCAATGTATTAGTTCTTCTCTTTGTATGTTGACAACTACATTTAGAAACGAAGCTATGAAGGATGTTTAATTTTCCTGCACATGGTTTGCAGTCTTTTTAAGATACAGTAGAAATGTTAAAGTGTAAGCACTACAACTTTGATTTGATTAAACTTTGCTTACATTCATAATATTCTGTTTACAGGCAAATTACATTTATAAAAGAGAGATGTATCTAATATTGAGGTGTCTAAGTGGAGAGAGTCTATTTTGTCTTCCAGGGTTATGATCATAGCTACTACTTCATTGCAACTTTTATTACTGACCACATCAGACATCATGCAAAGTACCTGAATGCGTGAAAAACTTCACACAGGAGACTCTCTTCGGGATTAAAGTTGTAACAAATAGAACTGCTAAGAACGAAAAGATTTCAAAAAATTGGATTTCATAATTGTCAAGGAGCCTCTTTCTCCAGTTGAGTCACCTTCTGAATAAATACATAAAACTGCTTTCTGACTTAAAAGTTATTTACCAGTGTTCACACAGGAAATCTTTTCTGCTTCACGCTTTTTGAGTATCATTTGGAAGTCCTTGTAATATTAACCTAAGGTCACATAATATGAATAGAATCCTATTCAAATCACAGAATGCTAACTGTAAAGCAGAAGATTTTAAATAGCTCAAACTCTTCATCTTTTCAGACTTCAATAAAGCCTCTGAGGCAGTGAACTATTCTCATCATGTTTGTTATCTATAATGTTTACCAAATACTTGATTTCTAGTATCTAATTTAATAACTGTCATCTATAGAGAAGGAATTCAGTTCAGAGAAGTTACATGAATGCTTTGTCATTATCTGTGGGACAGCAAAGATTAAAAGTGAGGTGGGTTTTTTTTTAATAAACTTCAGTTGAATGATTTTTTTTTTCTAAATCTATTGGGCTGAATACATTTGTAAACTTTAGTTTGGGGATATTTTAAGTCTCAAGAATTATATAACAAGACAATTTACAAGTGGCCAAATAAGGAGACTTACAAAATTTTTGTTACTATGAATATTTTCCTTTAGTCACATGCAGAAGCTTAACTGGAGCTCACCAAGAAAAGTGATGTCTGTAAATTCCAAATGGTGGTCAGATGGAGAAGGGAAGGTCACAACAGGGAATAAGCAAGAGCACAAGTTGCTGTTGTGGGCAGAATTTCTCCTTTCCCACGGAAGCCTTAACCTCACCGTTAATACCTTCTCACTGATTGAGTAAGACCCACTATCTTTTCTTTAACTTAAGTCAGCTAACATAGAACTTTATTTCTGCTGAATTGTCTTCATAATAATACCTACATTAGGATTAGATTGACTAACTGGGGACTACCCTCACAAAGTAGGCATTATGAGAAAATAGTTGCTTTATTTGTACAGTCAATGATTGTCTTCTACCAGATTAATTAGTCCATCACCTTTCTTTTTTTGAGTGGTCTCTAGGGCTTGAACTCAAGGCTTCAAGATTTCTCTTGGCTTTTTCACTGATGGCTTGTGCTTTACCATTTGAGCCACACCTCCACTTTTGACTTTTTGCAGGTTAATTGGAGAATTTGCTTTGCCTGGTTTTCAACTGAGATCCTCAGGCCATCTTCCTAAGTAGCTAGGATTATAAACTGAAGCCACCAGCACCCAGCCAGTCAGTAGTACTTAGCTTCCCACAAAGTTTCAAGACATGGACTAATGGAGAGACATTCTTTGCCAGAATGTAATATATGTAGCTTCTAGTCCAATTCCTGGTAGAGTTCTTGTTCTCATCCAAAACCTCGTGAATACAAGCTTTACTGTCCACATTCTCTCAGTGCTCTACCCATGGCTGTGCTTACCTGGGCTTCTCTAGCTCACTTGTCCAAACTTGCAACTGCAAATAGTTGCAAAGGCTTTTAAGAACCACATGGTCAGATTTTTTTTAATTGTAATGGTAATGTACAGAGGGTTTGCAGTTACATAGGTACAGTCATGAGTACTTTTGAACAGTGTTATCCCCTCCCTCATTTTCACCCATTCCTCTCCCTCTGCCAGCTCCCCTGCTCCCCAGGTTGTAAAGGTCATTTCCAACACAGTGTCTGGTGAATATCACTGTTGCATTGGTTTACCCTTTGTCCCACTGTTTCTGTGATTCCTTTTCCTTCCCCAAATCAGATAAACTTGCTGGACAAAGGGTACAGAAATAAAAAAGTGACAACAGAGAATAAACTAAAGGAACAACAGAAACAACTGCAAACAATACACACGGGGGGGGGGGGGAACCCTTGTTAAGAGTTCATTTTGATAAACATCATTTTATATAGTCATGTGCACATAGATGTTCAGCCATGTGCTCCTCTGCTAAGCATATCCTAGACATAGTCTAGTTACTACAAATGAGGGAAACCATACAGCCTATGTTTCTTTGGGTCCGGTTTGCTTTGCTTAATAACGTTTTTTCCAAGACTCCATTTCTTTATGAATGGGGCAATGTAATTCTGATGGAAACATAGAATTCCATTGACATATACCATAGTTTCTTGATCCATTCACCAACTAAAGGGCATCTGGGTTGATTCCAAATCTTAGCTATGGTAGATAGTACTGCAATGAACATGGTTGGGCTGGTAGCTTTAGTGTGACCTTGTTTATGGTCATTTGGGTAAATGCCCAGGAGTGGGGTTTCTGGGTCATAGGGGAGTTCTATGTTTAGGATTTAAGGAACCTCAATAATGCTTTCCAGAATGGTTGAACAAGTTTACATCCCTACCACCATCTGTTATTAGTTTTCTTGATAATGGTCATTCTAACTGGAGTGAGGAGGAATCTCAATGTTTTGATTTGCATTTCTTTTTCAGAGAGGTCTCTCTTATTAATGGGATTTTTTTTGACATGATCAGATTTTGTCACAGCAACAACTCCCCTTCTCTAGTACTAGTTTTCTGTGCTAATCCTCATCAGTGTGGCCAAATACTTGGAAGAAGCAACATAGAGAAGGAAGCAACATGGCTTACACATTCAAAGAGTTCAGTCTGTTGTCTCATGGCACCGTAATTTTGGGACTTAGTAAGACAGTACATCTTGGTGGTAGGAACATGTGGCAGAGGCCATTTGCTTCATGGCAAACAGAGCAAGATGTAGCTCCAGTAATCAATCAACTTTCTCCAGCTTGGTCCACCTCCAAGTTTCCTCAAGCTCTCAAAAGAGTACCCCCAACATGTTTCGAGGAGTGGGCAAAAGGGGACCTTAAGAATAGAAGAAGGAAAGGTTAGTAAATTGTAATTATGTTCAATTTACAGTATGTAAAAATAGAACTATGTAACTTGAGGCTACGTAGAGTCAAGAGGAGGTAAATGAGGGAGAAGGAAGAAAAGTGTGACATTGACCAGGAAGCATTGTACTCAAGCTGACTTAGGGAATTGTGACCCCTTTGTACAGCTACTTAATAACTACAATAAAAGAAATAGTGCCACTAACTGCGGGCCGAGCACTTAGCACATGAACTTATGGGTGACATTGTGCATTCAAACCATAATGTATTTCACAGGAAAGTATCCAGCTGGAAGTTAAGGCAGTTACTTAATGGAAAAGAAAAGGAATGCATCACAATAGAGGACAGGAGTCCAAGAGGCTTGACTTCTAATGGATAATGTCTTTTTTTTTTAAATAACCAAGTCATTTGTGTATCTTTTGAATTGTAAAATGCTATGTTTGAACATTAATGCTTAGTAAATCTTTAAAATCAGAAAGAAAAGACAGTGCTTACAACTTCTATGCTATGGGCCAGTCACACAACTTCATGCTTTTTAGTTTGCTTATACTCCTGAGAAGTTAAGTGCTGAGTCATAATGTTTCTGATGGAATTTTTTGTAGATTATACTGCATGAGAGACATTTGAGAAGAAAACAAGATAGACAGGGTCTGCTTCCAAAAGGTGCTTTGAGCAGATCCGTTTAATTAGTCTATGGCTGAGTCCTTATCTAAAAATGGAGTAAACAAGACTCTTACAGCATTTAACCTCCAGGGCTGTGAAATGCAGCAAAAGAAGATGCGCAGGTGAAATTGTCACCTCTCAGATGTTAGTGACTAACTATAATCATGCTATTGGGCTCCAAATTCTTCAAGTCTGCTCTTAGGTTTCTTCCAAAACCATTTCAGTAAAACACTGCCACCTCGTGTTTCAATTAGACAAAGCAAACTAGACCAGGCCTTCCAGAATGTATATCAGTAACTCATTTCTTAGCTACACAGAGTTCAACATATACTAGTTTGAGTTACAATTTTCCAAGTTTACAATGATATGAAAGCAATAGGCATCATGTAAGAAAACATATTTTGAATTTTGAAGGTGGCTCTTTTCCTGGGCCAGTGATAAGCAGCATGATCTCACCAAAGAATAACCACACACCTCATTCAGCCCTGTGGGTGTAAGGGGAAACTACTGATGTGCTCTAGTGTGCCATGTTGCTAAGCAAGAATGTTTGCTAGGTGTGTTAGCTTTCCATTACTGTGACAAAAGAAAACAATACCTGGTATAATCAACTTGAAAGAGGAAAAGTTAAACATTCTGGCTCATGGTTTCAATCCACAGTTGGGGGGGGGGTGGAGGGAGGGTGGGCATTGCTTTTTTTTTTTTTTGGTCATAGGCCTGAACTCTGAGCCTGAGTGCTGTCCCTCAGTTCAAGGCCAGAGCTCTACCACTTGAGCTACAGTGCCACTTCCAGCTTTTTCTGCTTATGTGGTCCTGAGGAATCGAACCTGGGGCCTCATGCATGCAAGGCAAGCACTCTACCACTGAGCCACCTTCCCAGCCCAGGCATTGCTTTTGAGCCTGGGGAAAGGAAGAAGAGCATCATGGAGGAGAGGGGTACAGGGGAGAGGAAGCTGCTTATTTCATGGTGCTAGGGTTCCAAAAGAGAGCAAGAGGAAGGCCAGCTCTCATATCTACTTCAAGAACACCCCACCCCCCTTGACTTCACTTCCCCCAATAGGCCTCACCTAATCTCAAGACTGAAGGGGCTGGATCAGTGTAGGACTCCTTGCTGCATAAGGCACTACTGAATGGTGACAAGAGACTGCATGGGAGAGAAAAGAAAGGTGTGAACTCGTTCTTTGGAAGGAACTCACACCATCCTGCAATAAACCAATTACCCCATTCAGGACAATGTCTTCACCACTGACCTAACACTCTACACATGGGATTAAATTTTTCAATGCATCCACCTTGGAGAAAAAACTGTCAAACTACAGTTTTGAGGAAGAGATTTACTGGTCAAATGTAAGGAAAATCAAGTGTGAGGCAGGGGTGACTCCCAGGACCATGTGCTGGTGAACTATGGGGAATTTCAGAGGTATACATTATAATCTCTTACCTTCGTTCTAGCTGGCTTCTCTTCAGTACCTGCTATATGCCAACAGTATTAAGGACATCTGGCAGTCAGCAAGAGAACAAAACAAATGGGCAACCTTGCTTTAATAAGGCACACATGACAACTGCAGGGGGAAAAAAGGAGAAAATACTGGCACAGGGAACACGGGGCGGGGGGGGGGGGGGGGGGGGGGAGGGAGTGGCTTGGAGTGGAGCCCTGCCTGTCACAGCTCTCCACACTCAAGGAGTGCCTGTTCTGAAGAAAATTCCCTGCCTTCAGACCAGGTGAGACCCAGACTTGACTGGAATGTGTATGTGCTGACTTCCTGGAGAAGATGGAAGGCTAGGGATTATTGCAACTTCACCCAGGGCAAATTTAGGCTGTCCCTAGCTATTGCTAATAGCATGGTTCAACTGTTTGATGGACCAGATACTTGCCCCATGAGGATCCTGTGTTCCCGTCCTTCAACTATTCCTCCCCTTCCCCTTATACCCTTCCTCCTTGCCCCAGCCCTTTAGGAGGGGAAGTGCCTGGGCTGCTTTAATGCAGAAGGAAGATGATTGTAAGGTGTGCCACAGAAGCAACATCTCAGATCAAAGCATCACAACCCATAAACAAATGTTTTAGACTAGTTAGATGCATATCTTTAATACAGAAGACCTGGCACTGGTCCCTGCTCAGGCCAGTGGTCCTGAGTCTCTGTGTCATAGGTAAGAAGGGGCAAAAAGATGGAAACCATTGCTGCTAAGTGTTTTGACACAAGTTTCTCACAGCAGCTGCTCTTTTACCAAAGGATGAATGGATGTGGAGGGAAGACCCTGGCTTAGCTGAGGTAGGTATGGTGGAGGCAACTGTGTTCCATTCCATGAGAGCAACTGAGGTGTGAGGACCCAATGCTACAAGTTTTACAGCATGAACTAAGGAACTAAGGCATCCTCCAAGATGTGTCTGGAAGTATGACTGTGGGATACATGGGAATCCTCAATCTCCACTTCTATCCCTGCCCCAATCTCAGCATAGCAAGTTTGCTTCTGCTATATGCATGTTGTAAGCTTCCAGGGAAGGTGAAGTTTGGGAGAAAAGGATGATAATTGTGTGCACGCACACACACACATGTGCACACACATGCATGGGTAGCACTCCCTTATCCATGAGAAATCTGTTCCCAGTAAATACTTGAAACTGCAGGTAGTATTGAATCATAGACAGACAGATAGATATAGATTAGAATATCATATGATTACATTATCATTGATATATTAGTATATACATATTCTAATTTATAAATTACATGAAGAGACTAACATAATAATTCTAACAATAAATTCAAATAGCAGTCATAGAGAAATGTGAAGGAATGTAGTCTCTCAACGCAATCAAAGCCAGACACTGGTAGCTCATGCCTGTATTCTTAGCTACTCAAAAGGCTGAGATCTGAAGATCACAATTTGAAGCCAGTCCAGGGAGACAAATTCATGATACCTTGATGACTGATTAACCAGGAAAAAGCTGGAAGTGGAGGTGTGACTCAAGTGGAAGAGTGCAGCCTTGAATAAAAACGCCAAGCAAGAGTACCTGGCCCTGACTTCAAGCACTAGTACCAGCACATAAAACCAAACCAAACCAAGACTACTACTGGTATTTTTGGACTGGGGAAGACCATGAATAACAAATCATGAAAAACAAAACCTTGGAGAAGAGCTACTGTGCATATGGGAGAAGGGGAATGTGTGTGTACATATATATATACATATATCGATAGTTTTATTTACATATATACTTTCCACTATTATATATAGTATATAGTTTCTGCACACACACACACACACACACACACACACACATACACACACACACACACACAATCTCTTTCAGCAATAACGTCCTAAGTTTTTGTGTGTGATGAGTGCCAACCAGCCTTTACATCAGATGGGTGAGTCAGAAGATGATTTGTACAAATTCAAAGTTTTAATGGCTGTTAAATAAAAGGAAGGACGCAGCACTATATACATTCTGCCTGCTTATGGTACAGTCTGCCAGCCATGCACATTTTATTGCACATATAAACAGTGTACAAGGATCATAAAGACATCTTAGCTGTAAAAGAATTGCAATGAAAAGCCATTTTACACACTACCAAAACCATTTGTATTATACAGCCAACTTCAAGAAAGTACTGAAAATGAGTATCAAAAGGAACAGTTTAATTTTGAAAGAAAAATCTCTGAAAACAATGATTACAGAGCCTCTGGTTGCCAATATATACATATAAAAAATATTTCCGGACACTTTAATCAGAATGCCCAGGAAGGTACAGCCAGCAGTCTAAATTCTTATTTATAGAACTGACTTCTGAAGGTTGCTTCCATTGTATACTCTCTTCTTTCGAAATGCCTTTTGTCTTTACATTCTTAAAGGATTTGACAATACAGGAAAATATTCTAATATATTTAAGTTAGGTTAAAGTGCACAGTACATTTGATAGGAAATAATTGCTAGCTGCCAATCTAAGTTTCCAAGGCATTGGCTGATGGATGTTGGTGTCAATGTGCACGTCTTCCTCATGTCTTCTCTTCTGCATTCACCTTCATGTTGACATTTGGTGGCTACTGCTGCTCTAGAAACTTTCTATGGCTTTTCAGTAGTGAAAGTACAGTCAGCACTAACAGGACTTTGAAGGATGAATGGCTGAGCTATCTGTCACTGTAGCACATATACAGGTGTGTTACTGCCCAGGATGAGTTGCTATGCCTTCTGGGAAAATTCCCAGACCCACATGGACAGTTCCTCCCCTTGGCTAGGTCTTCTTTAGTCCTGTAGTGTTTAACCTTGTTTCCTCCCTGGCCACTCAACCTCACATACTCTACTTACGTGTCCTTTTTTGACCCTGATCTGGGGTGGGGGTGGGGAGCTGGGGGCTGGAGCTGCCCATCAGCTCACAGATGAATTACTCACTTCTGAGGTTGCACCCCAGAAATCATGAATCTTGCAGTGTTGGCGGAACTACTGTGCAAACCCCAACTAAACTCTAACCAACAGGCACATCTGCTTCTCAGCATCATTTCCTCCTCTCACAACTGGCAGTACTGACCCAGGTCTTCCATGCCTAAAGCCATTTTTGACCATTCAGCCTAAATTTCCCTTAAAACAACTTTCACTCACTTCCACTTTCCCATACCTTTTCCTCATTATCTATCTTTGGTACCAGACTCTCTTTAATTACCCAAGTTACAGTGCAACATCATGCTTGGAGGCTCATCATGTTAACACTGCTTACTTCTTGGTGTTACAAGTTGAATGTTTTGTGCATAGCAAAAGAAGTTATAAATCAAAAAAAAAAAGTAATTGTTCACATTTTTTTTCTTCAAGTTTAATATGTCTTTTTTCCCATCACAGCTATTTACAAATAATTTTGGGGTGCTTTCTTGATTTCAGTCAGTTCATTACATGGGGGGGACAACAAGGCTGCTGGAATGTAGGCAACTGCATGGAATGCAAAAATATAAATAAGACCAATGTTCCACAAACCAAAGTATAAAGAATGCCTCCCCAGAAAACAGTTCTTTGTAATAGAAGCACCTGGTTTTTGTTTTGTTTTGCTTTTTGCTTCAATTTTTCTTCTCTGAGTTACAGACACCAGGGAACATGATTACTGCTACAACTACTACACACCAAAGAAGATAGAAAATAACTCAATATTTATAATATTAAAATAAAGTGTTTAACCACAAAAAAGCAGTAATAAAATAGTTTCCTAATTTACAATTTGCATCCAAAGGATGAATAACAACTCACTAATAAATAATATTTATATAAATATTTTGTGTGTCGAAAATAGCTTTTGAAAAGGCAATGGTCTCAAGAAACATCTTGACGAATTTGGTGGTGAATAAAAACCTGATTGTGTCTCCTCCTCCCGCCCCCCTCCCCCCACTCAATCTGTAACAAGTTTGGCTTTAATAAAACAGATGCATCTCGCTGTGTAACAGTTGTGCTTGGCATTGTTTTGGTAATGGCAGTTGGTGAGTGTGGAAGGGATGTAGGAGGTTGAAAAAGGCAATGATGTGCTAACTTAGTTATCCACCAGCCTCCCCCCCCTCTGGCTTCCAGATGAATCCCTGTCAAGTCTCAGCCTTGGAAGCCAAGGTCAGCTCTGAAAGGGGGGAAAATCCTCCCTTTGGCTGAAAACCTTGTCCATGCAACTAGTCAGGAAGTGACAGGCGGAGAGTGGGGAAGAGGAAGCAATGGATACCAGGAGTCCAGTCCAGGATCCCTGATGGAGGAAGAGTCTGAGTCAACTCAGAGGAGAAGGTTGGTCTCATGTGAACAGAGCCTTGGTGACAGTGGTGACATCGAGTAATGCTTGGACGGTGATGCCCACTTTGACCAGGCCTTTCTCTTCCAGGATGTGATGGGGCAGACATAGTTTTTCCTAAAAGGAAAAGAACAAAACACCAATGTTTAGATGATCCAATTTAACAGTAAAACCTCGCTCCATCACCAATGGGACTGGCACACCATCACAGACCTGTGGGAGCTCCCTGGTCTGTGTTCCTTCCCTTGCTGGGCCAACTCAGGGAAAAGGCTTCTTTTTGCGTTTGCAAGGAAACAATGAATGGGGTAATGTTCCAGAAAGGTTGCTTACTACTCTGAACAGATCTGCAACAGATCTAAATATGGAGGAAAAGTCTCATAATAAATAACTACCAGGTCCACTAGAACCACATGACAGGAACAGCAATAGCTTCCATTCTTCTAAAGTTAATACAGCCTCTCACACATCTAAAAGGAACTCAAGTACTCATGTGTAGAGACCACGCCATTATACTGAGCCTAAGCTCTGGTTTCATGGTTTTATGTCCTGTGATCTCTGCAATGCAGCCATGCTGGGCATCTAGCATCCTTTCATGAAGGTTTATGCATATATTACCCATAAGTAATGTTCACCACCGTTCTCAATAGCTCTTTCTCTTTTCAGGCTCTTTCATAAAACTGTCAAAGACACACATGCTCTACTACTTCCTCAGGGTGCATTTTGGCTCTCGGGGAATGTCCAGTGCATATAATTCAAGGAAAATAAACAACACAAGTCACTTTTGTATTCAAAGCCTTTAGGGTTCCACACAGTGATATACAATAACCTTGATGAAGGAATTTTATGTCGTTGGCATTTGGCTCTGCTTTGATGTCATCTATAAGGGGCTCCTCTTGTAAGTCTGTCTCCTTGGTAGGAAAAACATTTCACTGTGAATGATAATCATGAGTCCTCTACTGCCCGGTGGTCACCAATTTATTTTTTCTTATTTTGAATGGACAATTCAATATCCATTACCTCATGTACATTTTTTTCCCAGTGAGAACACTTACAACCTACTCTTTTAGCAATTTTATTTTTGGTCAGTCCTGGGGCTTGAACTATGGGCCTGGTCGCTGACTTGAGCTTTTGTGCTCAAGACTTGTACTCTACCACTTGAGCCACTTTGGGCTTTTTGTGGTCAACTGGAGATAAAAAGTCTCACAGACTTTTCTGCCTAGGCTGACTTTGAACCATGATCCTCAGATCTCAGCCTCCTGAATAGCAAAGATGACAGGCATGAGCCAGTGGTGCCCAGATTCTCTTAGCAATTTTTATTTATTTTTTTTTGAGGAGTTAGGGATCCAACCCAGCACCTTGTGTGTACTAGGTAAATGCTCTTCTACTGAAATACATTCCCAGCTCGGCAATTTCAAGTATACATTGTTATTCACTGGAATTGTCATGGTGTTCAATGGATTTCCTGAACTTAATTATCCTATTTAACTGATGATAGTTTTTATCCTTTAGCCAACATCTCCTGGCCCCAGCCATTGGTCATCACCATGCTATTTTTTAGCAACTCCTAAGAGATCACTACCCTTAGATCCCTCATATAAGTGGGATCATGTGGCATCTGTCTTTCTACACCTGGATTCTTTTACTGCACGTAACAGGTTGTCACACGACGGGCATTCCTTCCTCTTGAAGGCTCACTGCACTGTTGTCAAGGAGAGTTTAAGTGGGGTCTGCATCAAGCCTAGGTGGTGAAGTACATGTTTTCCATTAAGCCAAATGCCAGGCACAGGAGTGCTTCCTTTCACATGATACCTGCTGAGGAAACAGTCCTTCCTGCTGCTGCCAATGTGCTGGACTCCCCAAATGACCACACAATTTTAAGAAGAATTTCAAAGACATGCATGTTATCTCCAATAATCTATTTCACTGGGTCAAAATGTCAGCGGATCTTGCACCACCACCATCCTCCTCTTCTTCCTCTTCTTCATACTTCTTCTCTCCCCAGGCTTTTCCTTGACTTTTGCTAAACAGAAAATCTCAAATTTGAACCATAGGCCTTAAACATCTCAGACTTGACTCCAGACCCCAAGACGTAAGTCAGCTGATTCATGAACGCTCAGTTTTGAGCATGACTTCATGTAGCTGCTGTGGCTCCAGACAGGGTCAGCAGTGTGTCAGGAGAGCATGTAAGTTTACTGTGCTCACTAACAGAGTGGCTAAAAGCCAACCAAAGAAAGGAAGGTGGTTAGTTCTGAGCTGTGAGCCAATGGGTCATTTCAGGAGGAAATGTGAGTCATCCTTTGGGGCACAGTGAGGGGGTTCTGCAGCCAGGTGTCAGTGCCCACATTTGTTTGCCAAGGGACAGGGCCATGTCTTCACTCTCTTATGGCTTCCCTAGCTTAACATCTGGATAGGAAATACCCACTATAAATAAGCTCCTGATGTCAACTATTATTTGGAGGGAATATAAATCTTCACTCTATATACTAAAAACTATTTCAAGGAAAGTTCAAATTTAAATGCAAAAAAAGTGTTCTCAATGAACGTGAATATTTAGTATTTCTCTGACAAAAGGATGGAGAAAAATTTTCTAAGAGGAATATTGAAAACTTACCAAAAAAATTCCTTGCCTAAAATATTTAAGTTTCTCTTTGTCAAAAAAAAAAAAAGAATTAGGGGGAGGGGAGGGATAATGGGACAACAAGAAGGAAGGGAAGGGGTAACAATGATCCACAAGTAATGTACTCATTGCCTTACTCATGTAACTGTAACCCCTCCGTACAACATCTTAACAATAAAAATTTAAAAAAAAATCAGTCTAGTGAAACACTAAAGTGTACAAGTATTTGTATTAAAGTACAAAGGGCTTCATATGACTCAACAAGAAAAATACTGAGACCAATAAAATATAGCACAAAAATATAAATTTTAAGACGAGGGATTAATGTAAGACAATGAACAAGGTATTTTGATTCTCAAGTTCTGTTTTCTGATATCTAATCCAAGTGTGCATGAATTCTAGGGTCATGGTCCACAGCCCAGTCTCTGCTGACATCGCTGGAGAATGGCCTGGTTCCTCCAAGAACTGGCCAGTGTCACCAATTAGTGTTGGTTCAGCAGAACTTTTGGTAAAGGGTGACCATAGAAGGGAAGGGCTAAGGCCTCTGCCTCCTATCAAAAGCATATTCACACACTTCACAGATTATGTTAAGATCACCCTCTCTCAGGTCCATGTTTTTCTAGCCAGCATCTTTTACCATCCTGGTCTCTGCACTCCTAGAATACATTTAGAGTCCAAGATACTCTCTTTTAACTCTATGGTTAGTCATAAGGAGTGCAGATGTACCCCAGCTTCTGGGGGTGGAGTCACAGCCTAATACTTCCCTTAAGTTGAAAATATACCTAAATCTACTGACCATCATCAAAGCTGAGCCCAACCTACTACCTCAAACATCACAGAACAATATTATATTAGCCTACAATTGGGCAACGAACACAAAGCCTGTCTCATATCCAGTGTCAATTGTCTCATGTAATTTGTGGGGGATCATCACTGAAAGGGAAAGACAGAAGGCTTGTCTATTGCTTTTACATCATCTTCAGGTTGACAAACCCTAAATTTAACCTTCACCCATCTGGGACCAACTGTAAAGCAGAAGACATTCTTCCAGCCTTTCTCTTTACATTAGGACCCCCTACGGGCGTCCAGAGGTGGCCAGAAAATTGTGGTGAGAGTGGAGGTCGTTAAGAAGACTAGCAGATGAAAACAAAACTTTGCATATAAAACATGGCAGTCCTAGGAAGAGGCAGACATCTTATCCTGGTGGAGAAAGCTCTTGGGAGCAGGCTAAATTGCCCTCATTGCTGGCTGGCCTTTATCTCTAAGCTCATGCTCCCAGATTTTTGTTCAGTGACTTCATTTTAGGAAGCCACTCAGCCCATTACAGTTTCTTTGGTCCAGTCATTTTCATGAATGTAAAGCTCTGGAGCTATGTTATTTAAGCCTTGAAACTATGTATTACTTTCATGGAGGAGGGCTTCAGTTACAGCTCTGTCACTGAGTAATAATCCTTAACGATGTAGAACATGTTGATTCTTATAGCTGAAGATGTCTTCTCACCTTTCCCTGGAGTCTTTCATTATTATCAGCCAGACCACTAGGTAGAAGTGGGGGAACATTTGGTCCTCAGGCCATTTAAGACCCCTGAAATCATTTGGTTGGCTTCTTGAGGTCTGCTTGCCTGTATTGATCATTTTGTATGGCCCTCAAATGATGTTATCATATCCAAATGGCCACTGGCGGAGAAAGAACGGCTCTCCACCCCTCTCGTGTTTTCTCTCCCTAGAACACTTTGCTCTTCACACACAGGAATGCCTTCCCTGCCATTTCTTCCTCCTCTGCTGGTTATTTCTACACATCTTCTAATCTTAGTGAAGCACCACCATCTCAGGTGGCCTGCATGGCCATGCCTGGCCCATTAGGGTCAGATTCCTCTTTCCATATGTTGCACAGAATCCAGTGCTGTACCCATCCTAGGTCCTTCTCACTGAAATTTTTCTTTTTTTTTCTTAAGGATCTACTAGAACAAAGGTCGACAAACTATGACCTTCAGCCTAATCCAGCTCATAGCCTAACTCTGTCAATAAAGTTATACTGGCAGACAAGCATACCCATTCATTTACGTATGTTCTGTGGATGCATTTATGCTACCAAAACAAGCTGAATAATTGCAACAGAGTCTACAGGGCCTGAATATACTTGCTATCTGGGCCTTTAAAACAAAAAATAAAGCAAAATAAAAGCAACAAAACTTGCTGGCCCCTGGTATACACCGAAAGCTTAAGAACTGGACCGTGAGTGACTACGGTTATTCCCAGAGCTTCCCAAAAGGCCTAGTACAGAGTGCTCATCCAACACAGGAAAAATGATCACATGAACAAGAATGGACAAATGTGTTCTAACAAACCAAGGGACTAGATCCAGATAAACTTAAGAAGAATTCTACAGTCAGTAAACTAGTTTACTGACAATTCAGAAATCTGAAGGCCAACTTTAAAGATCAAATCTCTTGGAATGAAGCCATATTAAAATACTCTGTGGGGGTGGGAGGGTGCAGGGG